GTGTGTGTTCACTGCTGTGTGTGTGCACTTTGGATGGGTTAAATGCAGAGCACTAATTCCGAGTATGGGTCACCACACTTTGCCACATGTCACTTCACTTTCAATGCATGAAATCAAGATCCATCCTACGTTTTTTTTGTTGTTCAATAAGCAGTTATTTTACTATCATTTACTCATTTTTAAGTAGCTTTTATTTTTATATTTTCAGTTTTCATTTTTATTTGCTTTTTAAATAATTCTATATAGTACAATTATTTTCATTTTATATAATTATTTTATATTTAATTAAAAAACTAATTTTTATTTTTTTTAATATTCCATTTTAGTTGTACAGGTTGTCAAAGCAACTTTCTGATTTTTAAGTTTTTTCAAGTTCTTCTAATATTTATATTTAATTTTATTTCAGCTTTATTAAAATTAACAGAAGTTTTTTTTGTATATATTGTTAGCTGAAACTAACAACACTGTCGATAAGCCATTTTACTTTACGGTCAATATGTTCAGAACTTCCATTTCTTGTAATTTTGGTACTTCAACTTATTTATTTCAGTTAGTTGTCAAGGCAATATTTATAGTTTTCATTTAAGTTCAGTCCAAGTTTTTAATCTAATATTTATATTTTATTTTACTTCAGCATTATTTCAATTACCTAAAATGATTTTTAATAGTTTTAGTTTTAGTTAACAATGACGACTCTCTAAAGCTGTCTGAAGTGCAAGTGTGCAAATTCGTCATAACTCAAATGTGTCTGTTTGAATCAACAAAGACAAGTACACTGTAAGCGTACCAAATCGGGGGGAAAACATAGAACACTCATTACAATCAACAAAGCTCACTGTCTGTACTGCCAGTGTGCAAAGTCAACAAAACTAGCATGCTTGGGGTGTATAGACACTGTGTTCGGGCATTTCTACCCTTACGAAAAAGAAGTTTATTCAAGTGTGCTATTAGTATACTTCTTTTAAACTAAAAAATAGGAAAGTCTACTTTTTATGTACTTCTCAGAAATGGGCTTTATGTACTTCTCAGAAATATACTTAAAATGACATTTAAGTATACTTGACTTATACTTAGAAAAAGTCTAAATATATTTTTAGCTATAATTGTGCTCCTAGAATCCGTGTTTTCATTGTTATACTGTAGGGGGCGCTAGTACACATTTTCTGTACAGAATTTACACTTACAAGTATACTACTAGTACACTGATATTTGTATACTTACTACATAAAGTATACTTAAAAATATACTTGAACTTTACTTATGTATACTTACTAAAATACACTTGAAGTATACTACTTTTTGGTAAGGGTAGCTATTTAGGTTTTCTTAGATTTTTCACTTCCTTTGGGTTTATCATGCTAATATGCTAATACTGGGTTTATCATGCTAATATTATCATGTGTTTGTTTGTGTGTGTGACTCAAAGGGAGTCTCTGTTTGAGCTCCATTAGTCTCAACCTCACCCTGACACTACTGCTCACATTAATACACACACATTCATGTTTATGTGATGCTGATTGCATCATTTGAGTCGAGAAGTGTCAGGCCCAAAAGTTCAATATTTATTGGAGCATTATGTGCTGATGTTCATACATTAGTATAATTGTTTAGTATGTAGGCAAGGTATCACATGTGGATTTGGGCGTATTTGATTGTGTATTTTCTCTTCACAGGTGATCTGCATTCTGATTGGCTGCTGGCTGGTTATGGAGCATCCTTATATCAAAAAGGTATTGATTTTTCAGATGGATTGACTCATGAGGCCTAAAGATACAGTTGCTGACCGTTAATAATGCTGAGAAATAGGTGAGGAATGTTCAAACATTATTAAAGACAAGTGAACAGACAATAATAAAATGAGAACAGATAAACAAATTACAAGCAATGGAACAATCGAACAAAGATACAAATGAAATAAACAGTGCTTTTGTGACAACACAGCCTGTTTGGGGCAGTGACGATTAAATTGACTGTCCCGAGCATCTTTCACGCTGACCCCGATTCAGTTTTGTCTTGGATGTTTCTCTTAAAATTAGGTTGTGTAATCTGATATTATAGAGGGATTCACAATATATCTCTGACCATGTCATTATGGGCCAATATTAACATTTTGGAAAGTATTTGTATTGTTTAGCCCAGTAATTCTCAACCAGGGAGCCTCAAGGTGATTTAAATGGTTTAAAATAGGACAGAACAAGCTTTAAAAAGGCAAAAACAGTCAAATATCAAGATATTTATCCACTCAACAACTTTTTTTTCTTTGAAGAACTCGAGTTCCCACGGTCTTAAAGGGGTCATATGATGCTGCTAAAAAGAACATTATTTTGTGTATTTGGTGTAATGAAATGTGGATATATGAGATTTATATATTATCTTTATTTATATAAACATTTATTTTTGTGACCTGGCAAACTCAAATGGAAATTAATTAAATCTTAAAATGCCATGGACATTTTTAGAATGAATATGAATTTTTCTAGATGTGCCAATCTGAAACATAAAATATTTTTTGGAGAAGTAATTTAAGTAAAAAATATTTAGAAAAATGTATGTTCTTAATCCTTAGCCATAAAATTACAATAATGTTATTGGATAATGTACAATATATTGAATTTATTCATGTGTTGTTCCAAAGATGTACTTTTTTTCCCCCTGTGGACCACAAAAGATATTTTGAATTTCTTTTTTTTTTTGCCTATACAGTAGGCTTGCCGCGATAGACGGTGCTGACGGTGATACCGGTGTTAAGCCGCAACACCGGTTACGTCACTTGCCCACCGCGGCACCGACCCCCACCGTCGTTTAGATTTTTTATTGTAATAAAAATCATTTAGTTCAGTAAAAGAACAGACACTACAATTAAAAACTGAACGGCACGCTGCTTTTACAAGCTATTTAAAAGCGAAGGAAAGCGAGGAAAAGAGGGAACGCCCCCGCCCCCACGGTGATACCGGTATTACCGGTGTTGTCACACGTCGATTAACCGGTGGGAAAATTTCCTCACCGTCACAACCCTACTATACAGTGAAAGTCAATGGGGTCCAATGTTGTTTGGACCACAACATTTTTCAAAGTATCTTCTTTTGTCTTCTTCAGAAGAAAGATATTTACAGTTTGGAGTTTGGAACAACATTTCAATTTGCTCTTTATCTAATGTCATTGTTGCCTTCAGGACACAATAGAGATATTAATGAGATCGCATACATGTTTTTTCTTTTTTCTATGGGATCAGCCGTAGTTCTGCAGGACCCAGGGGCTTTCTTGAACCCCAGTTGACGAAGCTACAGATTTAAAGCATTTGAGAGCATGAGATCTCTAATCCAGAGTGTAGCGAGTCTATAAAGGCTTCAGGTTCATCTGAGTGATTTATCATGCAGGAAATAATGTTATCACGGCACATTCCTCATGTAATATATGATCACACACACCTCCCATTGACCCAGGTGTGTGTGTGTGTATAAGTGAGTGACAGAGAGATTGCTCGTGTCTGCAGGGCTGATATTATCGCTTGCTGAAAAGAGAGATAGATCAAGAGGAAATTGAGCCATTTAAATCCCAGGAGCGCTTTATGATTAATGGCTCTCAGATATTAAACTGTCTCTCTCTGAAAAGATCTGGCAACCAGCCGAATAAAACACCACACACTCGTAAAAGGCAGTCATTTTTCCATTGTCCAAAAGCCAAATACCCTCTGCAATCCACCCACTACGGGTGGGCGGTATGACCCAAATCTTATATCATGTTATGAGTAATTTTATGTGACGGTAGCGGTCTGTATCAGTTTTTTTTGTTTTTATGTGTGGAAATAGTGGTTTATATATTAAATAACAATGTGGTATGTTTATTTCTGGATACTTTAGAAGCAAAAGCTCACTTGATTATTTTCTTTTATGTAAATGAAAAGACGATTATTTCTAAAAAGAATCTCAAGTCTCGCATTATATGACGAAACAAAAAAATAAAATATTATGCATTGTAAATGAGATAGTTCTGACAATAAATTTGAATTTGTATCAGTCACGTTTTAGGTTATGCGATCATTATATGCATTACCTGTGATCCGCACAGTTGAACTCTATAATAATACGTCACATTGAAACTAAACTGTGCTTTTCGTGTTTCTTTGATGTTCTCATGTGTAAATAATGTAAAGCAGTTCTGTCCACTCATAGCTGTCCAAATATGTCTTCTGTGGTATAAACAGTAAATTGAAATGACACATTTCTACTGTTGCGCTTAATATACTGTAAAACCTCCCGTCCCTACCACCCACAAACCCATTTTCGCTCTTTAAAGAGAGAGATGAAAGAGATGAAATCTAGAAATGACTAGCTTTTGTGATGCATGTGTTCCCGAGAGCATTTATTTCCTGATTTTGAGATTAGGTCAAGGTCAATTTATTTATATAGCACATTTAAAAACAACTAGTGTCTACCAAAGTGCTGTACATAAACAAATAATATAATTCCGACAGATATGATGGGGAAGCACCATTTAAAAATAAATAATAAAATCTTAAAATGGATCCTTTACTGCACCGGTAACCAGCGAAGAGATGCTAGGACCGGGGAAATACTTTCCCTTCTCCTAGTGCTAGTCAGTAACCTCGCGGCTGCGTCTGACCCAACTGCAAGTGATGCAACGATGAATGGTTGAGACCCATAAAGTGCATTGCAATAATCTAGTCTAGAAGAGATAAAGGCATGGATAACTGTCTCCAAATCCTTAAATGAGAGCATAGGGTTTAATTGGCTATTTGCCTTAATTGGAAAAGGCTGCTCTTCACCACAGCACTTATCTGTTTGCCAAAATTCAGATGTGTCAAAAATCATTTTTTTTAGCAAAGTTTTAGCAAAAGAATGAATATTTGATGACAAAAAAATCTAATTAGCAACTTTAACTAAAATAAATAAGTATATTTAATTAAATATGTATTTATAGTTAGTCAAATAGTACATATATATATATATATATATATATAACTTTTTATTTTTTGGGGAAAAATTAAGACTTGTATTCAGCAAAGACATTTAATTGATCGAAGTGACAGTAAAGGCATCTATAATGTTACGAAAGATTTAGCAGATTTCTATTTCAAATAAATGCTGTTTTTACATTATATTCATCCTAAGAGTCCTGAAATTTTTTTTATCATGGTTTCCACAAAAAATATGAAGCAGCACAACTGTTTTAAACATTGATAATAATCAGAAATGTTTTCTGAGCAGCAAATCAGCATATTAGAATGATTTCTGAAGGATCATGTGACACTGAAGACTGCAGTAATGATGCTGAAAAATCAGCTTTGATCACAGGAATAAATTACATTTTAAAATATATTCAAATGAAAACAGTTATTTTAAATTGAAATAATATTTCACAATATTAGTTTTTATTTTATTTTATTTTTTTTACAAATAAATGCAGCCTTTGTGAGTCTTAGTGATCATAAAAGACTTTGAAAAAGATTTTTAAAAAATCTCAAAGACCTCAGACTTTTGAATGGAAGTGTGTGTATTTAAAACCTTAGCATCATATCGGTGTGTTGAGTTTAACACAGGTAAACACCATTCACATTTGCTGCAGAAACTGTAATCTACTTATCACATGGGACATTACACAGATGCCCTGCTGTGCTCTTATATGTTCGTGATTGGCTATTAAGATTGATTTACCTCCTTTCCGGTTTGCCACACCCCCCACTCCAGTGCTCACGTCTGTGAAAGAGCTTATGCTAGTTGAGTTTCATTACTTCCTGTCTCAGTGGCTGGACTGGTGATCAATGCTGTATGTGTATGTGTGTGTCTGCTCATGTATGCAATTATAAACTTATAGACTGCTGACGGATAACCCTCACATAACCCATTTATCATGCATCCCTGAGCTGCTGTATCAGGGCCGGACTGGGACGCAATTTCAGGCCGGGAAATCTCACACTCATCCAGGCCACACAGAAAAAAAGGGGCCAAAATTTTACCTTTTGGGGTACAACAGCTTGACACCGTAGCAGTACACCGTACATATTACTACCTTAAAGGAGTAGTTCACTTCCAGAACAAAAAATTACAGATAATTAATGTACTCACCCTCTTGCCATCCAAGATGTTAATGTCTTTCTTTATTTAGTCGTAAAGAAATTGTTTTTTGAGGAAAACATTTCAGGATTTCTCTCCATATAATGGACTTCTATGGTGCCCCTGAGTTTGAACTTCCAAAATGCAGTTTAAATGCAGCTTCAAAGGGCTCTAAACGATCCCAGTCGAGGAAGAAGGGTCTTATCTAGCGAAACGATCAGTTATTTTCTAAAAAAAATTACAATTTATATACTTTTTAACCTCAAACGCTCATCTTGTCTAGCTCTGTGTGTTTTTTCCATTTCAAGACAGTTAGGGTAGGTCTAAAAACTCCGCTCGTCTTGTCTAGCTCTGCGTGAACTCTGTTTTTTCCGCTCATGACAGTTAGGGTATGTCGAAAAACTCCCATCTCATTTTCTCCTTCAACTTCAAAATCGTCCTAAATCGCTGTTTTGGCGTTTTTTTTTTTTTTTTGTAAAGGTCATTTGATCTTCTTTGCATGTTCACTTTGTAAACACTGGGTCGGTTCTTCTGCAGCGATGTAGGACGATTTATAGAAGTAGAAGTCCATTATATGGAGAGAAATCCTGAAATGTTTTGCTCAAAAAACATCATTTCTTTACGACTGAAGAAAGAAAGACATGAACATCTTGGAT